GAATACAGCCCAGAGCAGCTAGGAGAGATTATTGCAGACACCACACCAGCAATGAGGTCATTTTCTCTCTCCCTGTATCCTTTGAAGAGGGCGTGTAGTCCACTGAGCCCAGAGAGTGCTGGAGTGGAAACCCAGTCATCCCTACCAGGGCTGGGCCGTGTCCTGTAGACCTGCAGTGAATATCTGGTTAAGATTAAGGGGCTGGCTTTGTACCCTTAGAAGCCACTTCTCAAAAAAAATAAGGTGCCAGTATTCCAATTAGGTCCTTAGAGATATTTGGGGGCAGATTCAATTTCCTCAAGCCATAATCTAATGATTATAGTAAAACTACTGTGGCCCAGAATCTATCTTTTTAAATTGTATTTTAATTTTTATGAAAATAATCATGTGCATAGTTCAAATTGTCAAATAGCTTATTTTGATGGAGAAAACAGTCGTTACCTGCTCCAACTTTCCCATCTCATGAAAACTGCACCTTGGAGGCAATACCACATTCTACATTTTGGTTATTTCTCCTTTTAAAAAAACACACTTTTACTTTTCTTTCTTGGTTTTCTATTTTAGATGTTATCGAATTATTATTATTTTTTTTTACTGTAGAACATTAGAATTTCCTAGCTTTTATGTCATTCTACCTTCTTGAACACACTCTTCCATTCCTCCCTATTCCCGGTATATTTAAGCCACAGTTCTGGGTTAAGTCAACATCCAACATTACCTCCGTTATGACTGTGTAGCTGTTTTCAGAGGCGGTTGTCTATGGGCTTTTTCTCCAGGGGTCTTGTGCATTTCTGTGCATCTTATGAGCAGAGGCACTGACAACTTGTGTTCCCGATCACCATTTCAAGGATGTACGTGTAGTGAACAGCCTTGGAAGACAGCACTAGTGTCTCCCTCCAGGGCAGAGGGCAGGCTTGATCACTGTCCAGTATGATAATGTCTTTCAACCATGTTTGCTTTCAGTCCATTATAAAAGACTAGGGTCCCCCAAACTCAGTGTTTCTCAGCTGTGATACAAACCCTCTGTCTGTGCAGCATCCCCCCGGCCACTCTTTTTCACCACCGGGGAAACTGAAGGGCAAGGGGGCCAGAGTGACCAGGCAGCTGTTCTGTGAGTAGTCGGATCCTCTGCCTCTGATCCAAGAGTCTCGCATCTATTGCTGGCATCCGTGAAGCTGGCAGGCTCATATGCTGGCTTGTGAGTAGGGTAAAGTCTCTGATTCTTTCCGGTTCTTTACTCTACCTTCATTGTCCTTCTCTTAACTTTTAGAAATTTCTCGGGCTTAATACTTGCTTTTGTTTTTGTCTTTTCTTTGCTGAGTTTGAAAACCCTGATGAGATTCACTGAGAAATCACATCCTGATTTTCATGATATTCCTGTCAATGATACATGACCTGGTCCTGAGACACACCGTGAGTGTCACCCTATGGAATGTGACACTTACATTCTTTAAAAACTGATAAGGACAGCAGAGACTGAGAAGTAGTGTTTTGCGTTGAAAGGCTCCAAAGAGACATAAGAACTAAAGTCAATACATATTCCTTGGCGTAACCCTGAGCCAGAAAGAAGAAAGAGAGTTTTGGACAGTTGGTGAAATTTGGATGGGTGAGTGTCCTTGTTTTTGGGAAATATACACTAGATTATTTAGGGGTGATGAGACATCATGTCTGAAGCTTTCTTTTAAAAGGTGAATGATAATGGGTATATTACCTCCTCCTACACACACGCGTGCACACACACACGCACACACACATTTGGAGAGAGACAGAGAGAGAGCTGGCAATCATGAATATTCAGTAAAATGTTAACATTTGGGACATCTGCATAAAAGAAACACAGGAGGTCTTTGATCTGATCTGGGAATTTTAATGTATGTTATTTCAAAGTAGATTAAAGAGTGGGGACACAAATGTTGATTGGAAGCTCTACTTTCATGTCTAGTGTATCAAGAGTCAGGTCTCGTTGTGGAGCATCAAGCTGGCTGTCTGTTGGGGGGCTCCTGGCTGTCCATACTTACGGGGCTAGACAGTTTCCCCTGAGGACTTCTGCACTCTCTTGCATGGTGTAGTGTCAGCCAGACAGTCAGCTTTCTGAGTGCCTAGTAGGAAGGGGACCAGAGATCTCACTTCAGGATGTACACTCATTGAACGTCTCAGTAGTGATCTGATCTACTGTCTTCTGTGTTATGTAGCCACGTGCCTGCCTGGACAGAGGGAGGGAACAAAAATGCCTGTTCACGCTTTACTCAGACTTTTCACAAAAGCTACTGTTTTAAGCCCTACTTGCTAACCCAACACCTTCAGAAGCCCCTGGCTCCTCCAGTGTTGGAAATGTTCTGGATTTCTGTGGCAGGACTCAGCTTGCTTTGTGTTGGCTGTTTTCTTCTTCAGGTACTTAGCAGAGCAAAGAAAGCAGAAACCTAAGTCATTTTCCATGAGGTTATCAGCTTCTCAGCTTCCACTATTTAGTGGACAAGAATCATCTGCTATCACTACGTCTCCTGTTCTCTCTGTTTTTGTGGGATTATCCCTTTAAAAAAAGTAATTTTTGTTACTTTAGTGGAGTTTCAGGAAAGTATAAAAAGAAAAAAATTTGTTTTGTTTTTCTGTCTGCTGCAGTTAACAGGAAGACCTTTTATTACCTGAGCTTTTTTGAAAGTGAAGACTAACTTCCTAAGAGTGAGGAAATAGATGTACTGTGTCATCATTTGGCAGAGATGCCAGGTCAGCACTGAAATACCATTATATATTACGAAAGGAGAATATATATATTTTTTAAAATAAAAAGGAAGGGACCATTTCTTGGATACTGATTTTTTTTTCAAACTGAACTTTAAAAAAAAATTTTTTTTTCATTTGTCGATCACTTTTCCTTCATATCCAGCTGATGTTTGGCTAAAATGGGCAGATGAAAAATATTCTGCCCTTAGAATATTTTTACATTCCACAAGCATTTACAAGATGAAACTTCCATTTTATTTCAATACCTTGAATGGCAACAGCCTCCTCATTTTTCTTTTATAATTTCCCTGGAGGATGAACAATAGGGAAACTGTTGACATTTCTAGAAGGCTTTTTTAAACATATGTTTAACCTTGATTTCATCTCTGAGTAAGAGGTCATTAAGCTATGGTTCCCAAATTGTGCACTGAGTCCACAGGGGCTACATTGAACTCACTGGGGCTAGATGAGATATTTAAACGTTTTGAGGGAAACACAGCAACATCTGTTGGTCGTTATCTGACCGACTAGCTCAAGGTAGCTTACTTTCAACTTTAGATTCCGGTACACTGCTTTTGTAGAAGACATCTCTTTGTGAGGATGGGTGTTCAGTGGTTGCTTTGATAAAAAGAAGATAGCATATGGTAATGAAGTGGAACAAGAAATGACGGTGATGGGTTCTAATCTGATTCTGAAGTTTGAGTGTATAGTGCTCGTATTAGTCAAGGTTCCTCAGAGAAACAGAACTGAGGATATATGTCTATATGTACCTATTGAGTTATTATGAGGGATTGGCTCACATGATTGTGAAGCTGAGAAGTCCCATGGTTTGCCTGTCTTTAAGGGGGAGGCGCAGGAAAGCCAGTGGTGCAGTTCCAGTCCAGCCTGCAAGGCTTGTGAACCAGAGAGTTAATGGTGTAAGTCCCAGTCTGAGTGCGAAGGTCCAAGAACTAGGAGCACTGACGTCTGAAGGCAGAAGAGGGATGTCCTAGCTCAGGAAGAGGGCAAATTTGCCCTTTGGCCACCTTTTTGTTCCATTAAGTCCCTCAACAGATTGTATGCCACCTGCCTTGGAGAAGCTGATGTTCTTTACTCAGTCTACCTATTCAAACGCTTATCTTTTCCAGAAACACTCTCACAGACACACCCAGAAAAAATTGCGCCAGCTCTCTGGGCATCCCTTAGCCCAGCTGACACATAAAATTGACCATTACGGTGTCCAACAGGTGCATGTACCTCACTGGTTAGCATAGTGGTTTAAAAATGTGTCCAAAATTATTTGATATCCTTTCTTCTAAGAGATGGAGACTAACACCTCTCCTTTTGAGTATGGGCTGGACTGAGCAGCCAGCTTCTAAGAGGGAGAATACAGCAGAAGTAACGGTATATGGTTTCCAAGTCTGTGTCATAAAAGGCATTGCAACCTCCTCCTTGCTTGTTCCCTCAGATGGCTCACTCTTGGGGAAGTCATCTGCCATGTGTGAAGACACTCGAGCAGCCCTG